AGAGAGAGAGAGAGAGAGAGAGAGAGAGAGAGAGAGAGAGAGAGAGAGAGAGAGAGAGAGAGAGAGAGAGAACAAAATCAAATGCATCTACGACTAGAACATGGAAATATACATTGCGCACATGCACACAGCGCACCCAGATGCGCGGCGTGTGCCGGTGCGCGTGCACCCTGGGTCCGCGCACAGTGCACAGTGCCGGTGCGCCGCAAGTATGTCTCAGATACACTGAAGATAGCATGGAGTTGTGTACACCAAACATGACAACACACATTTCTTGGGGCACCGCGGCCCTGAAAAAAATTTGCTTGTGCGTTATCCTAATTTTGGCTGGGCGTGGGAACTTCGATTCACCCCCTCCCCGACTTTTTTTTTTTGGCAGACCCCGAATTTTTCCCATGTCGTGCACCGGGTGCGCGCACCACGTGCGCAATGCATAGTGTGCCGCATGTGCGCGAGTGGTGTGCACAGGATGCGCCACAAGTATGGAACCAATCAATGAACACAAATATTCCAAGGAGCAGAAGACTCAAAGCAGAACCAGCATATATAAGCAAAGTCGAAAGCAGAATTACAAAGCCCAGAGCACACCAAATGCGTGCACACTGACATCGAAGTCTCTTGATAATGAAAGCCCAACTTTTTGCCTCCACACATCAATACAACCACAACATAGTAGATCTCCTATGATGTGACTGTCTATACTACTCTCCTACTCACTCCCTATACACAGCCTAGTGCTCTCTCTCCCACCTCTCTCATCTCTCTGTCCACTCTCCTCTCGCCTAACAATCCTGCAGAGTCTGACCAACGCGAGTGTTCTCTTCGCCCATCACTACCGTCTTCCCCCGAACATAACGCACCCTAAAAACGAATGTATACAAGCTATATTTCCGGCCAGATACAGCCAAAATAAGGGTGCGTTGTGTTCGGGGGAAGACGGTAGTTAAGTCTTCCTGCTCCCACCGCTGTCCTTCTTCGCTGATCACCCCAGCCCCAGAGTCCCTTTCATCCTCCTTGCTGCAGCAATGGCTACCTCCAAGCAGAGTACCTGGCCTGCAGCTTCTCTTCCCTTCCTCCAATGCACTGGTCTGGCTCTTGCACTGAAGCAAGGCTTGATCTGGCAGCCAGTACTCACAAGTGTGTGGAATGCTGAGGCGTCCTCTGTTTTTGTTACTTCTTGGAAGCTGCGACAGCCTCGCTGGGACTGGGGTCTTCCCAGTCTGCGAGTCTTCCACACTAGGTACCTGGGCCTCAACCTCTGCAACTAACTGGGAGGCTGGGCATACCGGTCAGTTGGAGAGGCCGTGCCCCTTCCTTCTAACTGCCTCAGACCAGCCTCCCCAGAGGCCTGGCGGCATTTTTCAGTCATAGCCTTCACTAGGGCCAGGTCACATCTTCCCTTTTGGGAGCCAGGGAGATCCGAAGCTTCGCATTCCCACCCCCATAGAGCCCTCTGCAGAACCCTTAATCTTCTCCTTGTTTCTTCCCTTTAGAGCACTTTCGTAGCGTAGAACCACTTGAGATATGAAAAAATAACAGAATTTACACAGAATTCTATCCTACTGGAATGGCAGCTAACACTTGAGAAAAGGAGGCACTTGAGAAAGCCAGAAGAAAAGGAAGCTAGATAAAAGAATTTGAATGGCTGGTCAACCCAGCAAATAGGCTGATTGCAAAGCTCGAAAGGGATGTTTCTCAGGCAAACAGAGCTCATTTGGTCTTTGCAGGCTGGACAGCAGCAAATAGGCTAATTGCCAACCTTGAAGAGGATGTTTCTCAGGCAAAAGGAGCTCATTTGGTCTTTACAGACTGGACAGCAGACGATGTTTCATTCCCATTGAGACCTGAATTTGCTGATCCCTTTCCCCTTCCAGACAGTTATTGGGTGGATCTGGTGTGGTATGGATGAGAGTGAAGTGGAGGGTTGGGACCAAAAAAAGAAAAAAGAAAAAACAACAATAAGCATATTGCCATATACCCAGACAAGGCAAGAGCCGTGAGTTACTCCAGTTCATCAGTTACTCAGTTCACTATGTCAAAGAAATAGAAGGCTTAGATTTGAAGTTCCAGG